GGTAGGGACAGTGGAGGGGTTGCGAGGGGGCCAGGGGTCGGGCTTAATGGGAGAGGGGCAGGCGAGCGTGTCAAAGCAGTGTCAGCCCCTGAATTGCAGGGAGGCGTGGGTGTGCGTGGGCTAGGACGTGGACAATGCACGGGGAGGGGCGGCGTGCAGAGCGGCGCATGCAGCGCGGGCGACGCAGCGCCTCAAGCGTGGACAGCTCCCGCCGCTGCTCCAGACTCGCACCTATGTCTCACACTCACACCCGTTCCTGACCAATCCGTCGCGACCCCACTCTCACCCCATTCCACCCCCAAAAATCTTAGGTCGTGACGGCAGTCGAACCCGAGTGGCTGGCGGAGCTGGGCCCCATGTTCTTCTCCATCAAGCAGTCCCACTCGTCGCGCCTGCAGCAGCGCAAGAAGGAGCGCGAGGCCGAGGCCGCCATGGCCGCGGAGGCGGACGCCAAGGCAAAGACCGACGCGGCCGCGGCCGCGGCGGCCGAGGAGGAGCGGCGGCGTCAGCTGCAGCGGGACACGATTGCGACGCCGGGGCGGGCGCCGGCGCGGCGGATGACGACGCCGCGGCGGCCCGTCGGCCTGTGAGGGGGGCGCCGCGGTTTCTGGTAGCGCAGATTGGTGCCTATGGCCGGTAGCTTTGAGGCAGTTTCTTTTTTCAACTTTGCGCTATCTTGCTTTCCACCCTTTTTTCCTGCTCCTTGCCCCCACGCCGTCGGCCTGCTTTCAACCATCTGCTCTCCGTCGTCGTTGGCGCTCTTCTGACCACCCGCTTCATTTGACAAGTGGCCCCGCCAGGGGCCACTGCCAGGCTGTGGCGTGCCGTGCTGCATCCCGGCTGCGCCGCAGGTCGCTGCAGCGGCTCGGCTCCCAGGGGCCCCCACGACCCGACGCTTGGCTGAGCCTTAGGGCCGCAGACCCGGGTCCCAGCAGCTCGATCTGTGGGGCGCGCAGCCCCGCTCCCGAGCAGAAGCTAGCGATGCCCGTAAGCAACATTGTGATACAAGATACGGGCAGCGGCGCACCCAGGCCTCACACAGGTGGTGGCGGCAGCAGCGTGGTCTGCGCAGAACGCGCGAGCCTGCCAGATGGCTGCATGTGCCGGTGTTGACCTGGGGGTGGCTGCCACCTGTGCGCGGGCAGGTATGCGCGTCTCATGACGCAACGCCCGTGGTCGATTTCCTGCTGACCTGGGAGGGCCTGCCGCCACAAGCCACTGGTTGAGGGCTGCGATGCAGCGCCGTGCACGGCCTCTGCTGCGTGCAGCTGGCAAGGGGATCAGCGCCGGACTGGCTCGTGCACACGCTCCCTGCGGTGTGTACTGCTCCGCCTTGCGCGGCTCCCAGGTCGCCCCCAAACCCCCCCCTCCTTTTGCCCGGTGCGCCTTTCCCGCCTTGAACCATCGGTCTTAGCTTCTGAAATGGGTGCTGCCACCATGATGGCCCACCCTAACCCCCCACCCGTGAATTTGGGGTGGGCAAGCTCTCGGCAATGTACAGGTGGCAGTACAATCCGACACCGCCAGGGTTGACAAACCTGCGCTGTATTGACAGCGTTGAGCCGTCACACTCATCTGAATGTTATTTACCATGAGACTAATGCCTGCGCCCTATCACCAGTCGCCCACACCGCATGGGCACGTCCAAGTCTGTCACCAGGTGGGTGACCTGGACCACGCCTGCCCTGCCTCTTGAAGACAGGATCCGTGTCATGCACCGGCTAGTCGAGTAATCTGATACCTCCAACAACCTCACGACCACAGTGCACGCAGGCACAAACCCGTGTCGGAACGTGACGTGTGGTGTCGACGACTCTCGGAAGCAACGCGGGATACTAGAAAAGTGTATGTGGTCGCAGTAACGGGTCGTGACGTTCAACATGAGCGCATCAGCTGGGACGGTGAGCGCCTCGGTGAAGGCGCGCGCCAGGATACTCTACAGGGACGCCGCTGCAGCCGAGAAGGGCAAGCAGTCAAAGTGAGATGCGGGGGGGATTCGGGGCTCGAAGCGCTGCATCCCGGGCTCAGGGTCGCCCGCGCCTGAGTCACCCGCCAGTCCAGCTCGCACGAACGAAACAAAGCCCGCGGCCGTTCGGCCGCCACTCTTCCCGAATGTACAGTACGGCATCACCCGCCGACGCTCCCAGCTCTTTGCTCCCATCCACACACCTTGTTGGGTGTCAAAATACCGTATGAAATCAAACCACCCCCTTTATCCCATCACCCGGCCTTTTATATCCCACTTTTTCCATCACCCTAGGTACAGGGGCCTCTGGGAGTTTGTGGGCCGCGCCGGCGAGCCCAGCCTCTGGGCCTGCGTCGTCGCGGGGCCCAACGGCTACGGCCTCGAGCACGTGGAGGCGGACAGCTTTGTCGCGCTGAAGTGGGAGCCGCTATTACTCATGAGGGGCTTCTGCAGCGAGGGGGAGGCGGCGCTGGCCTACGACCTGGCGCGGCTGTGGCTGCGGCTCCACGCCCCTGGCGGTGCGCATCCACTCCCCTGGTGGGGAGAGGGGGGACGGGTGTCGGGACAGGGTGCTGCGCCTGCAGCCGGCGGCTTGTGCAGAACGCGGCGTGCACGCCAACGCGCATTACTTGTGCAGCTTGTGCGGTCACTTGGAGACATGCTTGAACCCTGCCGTAGCCCCCTTTGTTGTCCCTGATCAGTATGCAAAATCCTTCTCTCTCGCCTCGGCCCCTGAATCCAGTCATGTCCCTCCTGCACTGCTTGTTTGTGAACCAGGGCACACCAGGGCCTCCCTCAGGGCAGCTGCCTGGAACCTGCGCTGCATGAAGCCCTGGGAGCCAGACGGCCCCGCACTGAGGCCGCTGGAGCGCATCGGGCTGGACCGACCCCAGGACGCGCGCGCCAAGATCCGCGCCCTGGTGGGCTATCGCTGTGTGTGCGTGCGTGCGTGCGTGCGTGCGTCTGTGCGTGTGTTTGTGTGTGCGTGCGTGCGTGCGTGCGTGCGTGCGTGCGTGCGTGCGTGCGTGTGAGTGTGTGACTCTGACATTGCGCTCCTTGCTCTTCATGCCTGGAAACTGCCCGCAACGGCCAGGGGGGGGGGTCAAAGGCCTTTGGCCTGTCCTGGCCTCCCCTTGCCTTTTAGCGGCAGGACCCAGCTGCCTGTGAGCCCTGGCACAGCGACGTCCTCATGCCCCGCGCCGCCTCCAAACTCTGATCTGGCTGCTGCTCACCCGCTCTGTCGCTCTCTGAGCAGACCAGAAAGCTGCTGCCCAGCCTGCCGCGCGGCATCCTGCCAAAGCCCCGGCAGTCCCAGGTGGACAGGCTGGAGCGGGAGCGCGCGGTACGGAAGGCGGCGCAGCGACGGGAGGACGCGCGGCGGAGGGTGAAGGAGAAGGCCGAGTGGCGCAAGTTCGAGGAGGAGAGGGCGGCGCGGGGCCCCGTGACGGATGAGGACCGCAGGGAGATGGAGGCAGAGCGAGAGCGGATGTGGGCGGTGTTCCGGCGGGACAGCAGGCGCGCAGCAGCGGATCGGAAGCGGAAGCGGGCGGCGGCCGAGGAGCGTGCAGACAGGGCGGAGGCGAGGCGGGCGGCGCGGCGCGCGCTGAGGGGGCCGGTGGCGGCGTACATGGAGGGACGGCTGCCGCGGGGCATGCCGGCGGCGGCCGCGCGGCTGCAGGCTGAGCGCAAGCGGACGCGGGCCGAGGCTGCGCGGGCGCGGGGTGCGTAGGGAGTTGAGGTGCGTCTGCTGGCGAGCCCTGGGCCGCTCCTGTTTGCTGTGGTTGACTTGGTTCGACCCAGCGCCTGCCGTTGCAGTCATGATGGTGCCGCGCCAACCTGGCCTGCAGTGACTGCTGTGTGTCAGCGGCAGTCGTCATGACAATTGTAAAGATGCGTGCGGGCATCCCCTGGCGGCCCCTGTCTCTGCCTCGCCCCAGCCCCAGCACGTCCAGGCTGGATCCATGCAGGAGACCAGTGTGGTGTGCAAGTGAATCACAGGCATGTAAGGGTTGCATGCGCCGCCGCCCTGCGCGCCATCAAGCCCGAGTTGTTAGGGGATTTCGGCCGTCACCTGCCTGCCTCGCTGTGGCGACACAAGGCCACCCGTCGGTCCCACTGCCTGCGCGCCAGGCTGCTGTCGCACATGGGGCTTTTGTGGCGGCTCTGCTCCGCACCAGTCAGCCCAAAATCCTGTCATGAATCAAGGCTGGAACCACAAGCGGATCATGCGTCTTTCTTACCGCCGGCGCGCTGTTGCAGCTGCGCCTGACATAGCGTGAAACAACAAAGACGAAAGACAAGAGAATTCGACAAAAACAGGGACTGCAACATGCAAACTGCAGAAAGTGCCTGATTTGAGTATGTGCTGTTGGGGTCAACTGCCCCGGCTTGACGCCACCCCCGAACCAAACAAGCCCTTGCAAACATGCATCAGCAAGCATGCTGGCCACAATGTTGACAATCAACAGCCGCCGCCCGCCACAGTCGCCGCCCAAAAACCAGCGCTGCCCGCGCGTGCGAGGGGCGACGCCCAGGTCACCCCCACCGACACCGCACCAACCCGCGCCCCGCCCAATCACTTGGCCTTCTTGCCCTTGCCTGCGGCCGCCGCCGGCGCCTTCCTCTTCGCCCCCGCGCCGCCCTTGCCGCCGCCCTTGCCGTTGCCGTCCTCCTCCACCGCCACTGCGGGCTCCACCTCCACCTGGTAAAAAGAGTGCAGCGGGGGGCGGAAGGCGCACGGGGCTGCCGCGTCAGCGTGCGGCGCAGCCCTGATGCTTTAGCAGACCGGCAACTCTGTGGCGACGCGACCCTCCTCCAACACGCGACATTATTAACCCACGAGGAAGCTGCACGCAGCAGCAGGCTGTAAGGACGGTACCTGGCCAAACCTGGTGCCAAACACATGCTGCGCACACGCACACCTGCGCACGCACATGCACGCGCACATGCGTGCTTGAGCGCGCACTTCAACGCGGGCGCATGCCTATTTGTCAGCCCACTCCATGCACTCCAGACTCTGTTTTTCACGACCTGCGACAAGTGCAGACACAAATGCACATGCGAACACATGCGAACACCCACCTCTGGTGTGTGCAGGGGCAGCTTTGCCACGCGTTCGTCCCCCGCCTCCACCAGGAAGAGCGTGAAGCCGCTGCCGCACGCCACCATGTGGGTGTACAGCCCCTCAAGGGCATCACAC